GGCAAATACATTCGTAGAGAATATTCTCAGCTAAAACATATCAAAATTTGAAAGAAAATTGATCAATATTTACAGAGATACAATCAATTTTCCAAAAATCTGCTAACGTCATAATATGCAAATTGAAATTTTAAGTTCGGAGGCCATTATGATGACGTCATGAGTTAATTGAAGGTCAAATGAGACATGAAATCATATCTCCGACTCATGATCTATCTAAATATGAAAAAAATTGGGGGTATCTATCCATTCTGAAGAGTTAAAATGAATTTTGTATAGGCTTGTTTTTGCACATGTAATGTGGATAGGGATAATGCAGATCCGCGTGTGCTGTAAACTTTGACGGACGCTCATTGCGTTATCACTGGTCAGAAAAAGGTGAACAAGGTATCAAAATGCTTGGAAAAATGTGGTTGATATGATAGAAAAAATTTGGCGTTTCCATGTTGTAAAATGTCAGTACGCGCACTTACGCGCGGAAACGCGCGCAAAAAAGTGCTCTCGCGCAAAATCTTGAAAATGCTTACAATGGCCTGAAACGTGTGCAAAAAAAATTTGGAACGAATTTGAGCATTTTAAAATTTTAATGCGCGCGTACGTGCGCGTCGAGGTGCGCGCACGGATTTTGTTGACATTTTTAGTTGACCTTTGACCGGAAGTTGATGTATACTAAATATGGTTTATTTTTGATTACTCGTTATTGAGATATGATAATGACCTGATTTTTACAAAATGGCGCCTGGATGACGTCACGATGACCCCATGAACTTGAAAAAGGTTTCGGGAACTTCATATCATAGGGCCTGATGACTAGCAGAAATTTGAAGGAAATTGACCAGGTCGAGTTCGAGTAAACGTATACACAAAAAAAGTGTACGGAAGAAATAAAAATAAACTAGAATTTAATTCGTCACGAGGACGAATAAGGTGGTCTGCCTTCAAGTTATATAGACATGTAAACAATGATGATCATCATGATGATCATGATGATGATGATCTTGATAGTAATTGTGATGACGAATATGATGATGATGATGATCATGATGATGTTGATGATTATCATCAACAGACCATGATGACATCAGACTGAAAAAAATGAGAGAACATTGAGATAGTATATAGTCTCAGCTACAACATACTCAAAAATCAACAAAAATCAAGCCGAAATAACGGCGATATTGCTCGCAAAAGACAAGAATGTAGAATCCAGATTTGAGAAAAAGTCATCTCCCATAAGGATTACACGCAAAAAGTAATGGATCAAGTGATAATAGGGTAATAATAAAGTAAATATGGTTGTTTATTACATTATTTGCGATTGTATGTGTTTTAATATTCAAAGGAGATGGTACAGTGAAAGGTCAAAAAGAAAAAAAAGTGAAGAAAAAAAATTGTTGGAGACGCCCGGACTCGAACCAGGGACCTCGAGGTCGGAAGTCAAGTGCGTTGCCGATATACCAAAACATTTCCTATAGAGATTACACGTAAACGGAAAATGTAATTCTCAAATCCCACTTTGTAAGTGAAATATGAGCATGATCCCGGCATCTGATCGAAAAATAAAAGGCACACTTGTGATAGCTTATTGTCTCAGCTACAACATACTCAAAGCTCAGCGTAAACAAAGATAAAACGACGGAGATATTGCTCGCGAAAGACGAGAATGTAGAAACCAGTTTTGAGAAAAAGTCATGTCCCATAGAGAATACACGCAAAATGTGAAAAATTGACATGCCTCCTTTAATCGCAAAAATACGCCATGATGCCTTTGTCAAAATGAAATATCGTGGTGACTGCATTTGTAGAGAATATTCTAAGGTAGAACATATCAAAATTTGAAAGAAAATTGATCAATATTTGCAGAGATACAATCAATTTTCCAAAAATCTGCTGACGTCATAATATGAAAATTGAAATTTTGAGTTCGGAGGCCATTATGATGACGTCATGAGTTAATTGAGGGTCAAATGAAACATGAAATCATATCTCCAACTCATAATCTATTTAAATATGAAAGAAATTGGGGGGTATCTATCCATCCTGAAGAGTTACAATGAATTTTGTATAGGCATGTTTTTGCACATGTATGTTATGTATTACAAGAGCTCGCACGCACGGTAATTATCTTAAACGGACGCTCATTCCGTTATTAATGGGCAGAAAAAGTTGAACAAGGTATCAAAATGCTTGAAAAAATGTGCCAAATATGATGACAGAAAAAATTTGGCGATTCTATGTTGGAAGATGCAATTATGCGCGAAAACGCGCGCGCATGTCCGTGCGCGCGTTTTTTTGCAAAATGCTTAAAATGGCCTGAAACGTATGCAAAATTAATTTGGAACGAATTTGACCATTTTAAAATTTTAATGCGCGCGTACGTGCGCGTCGAGGTGCGCGCGCAAATTTTTTTGACATTTTTCGTTGACCTTTGACCTGAAGTTGATGTATACCAAATATGGTTGATTTTTGATGACTCGTTATCGAGATATGATACTGACCTGATTTTTACAAAATGGCGCCTGGATGACGTCACGATGACCCCATGAACTTGAAAAAGGTTTCGGGAACTTCATATCATAGGGCCTGATGACTAGCAGAAATTTGAAGGAAATTGACCAGGTCGAGTTCGAGTAAACGTATACACAAAAAAAGTGTACGGAATAAATAAAAATAAATAAAGAAAGAATAAAGAATAAAGAATAAAGAATAAAGAAAGAAAATTCTAACGAAATCAATAGGTGATCTGTCATCGACAGACCACCTAATAAAGAATAAAGAATAAAGAATAAAGAAAGAAAATTCTAACGAAATCAATAGGTGATCTGTCATCGACAGACCACCTAATAATAGCAATAACAAAACTGACATGTAAATATGAAAACTGGCATTAAAAACTGAATGCACAGAATGCATGAAATAGATCAAATAAAAGTGCTCTGAACATTCACCCCTTCTCTCCAAGAAATGGAATATGAGGAAAAAACAGAGACAAGAACAAATGAGAGAGAGAGAGAGAGGATTCGTATGGAGTAGAACAGAAAGGAAATGTGAGGGAGAGAGAGAATATAAGGTGGCAGAAAACAAGGAGTTCTGGGAGGGAAGAGGTGCGGGAAGATCCATCCAAGACACACAATTAGAACCTGAAAGTTCAATCAGATGCATACTAAATGATTTTACACTTTATTAAACATTTCAAGTGTCCTCTCCTTTTGAGTATATGCATTTATACAGTGCGTCCCAGAAAAAAACGAAACTGATTTAGGTGTCGTAATATGAAAGAGCAGAAAATGAACTTTCTAGAAATGTGATTTTTCTCTTTGAAATTCAGATACCGTCCACCAAATAACTTTTTAAAACCCTTTCTTCAAATTGATTTTATCACTCATTCGTGAAGAATGCATCATGTAAGTTGCATCAAATGAAAGAGGATGATCTAAGCTTTACAAATAGGTGTCCTTTATTAATTATAATTGTGATTAAGTTATGATACAACATCGATAATTCTCAGTTTCATTTTTTCCGGGACGCACTGTATATACTAACACCTTTTATGCACCCTCCTTTATTTTTCAGTCTTTATTTCTTCTTTCCTGTCTTCTTGCTTTTTTTGTCCCCACCGTTCTAATTTCCTAATTTAAAAACAAAAAACCATAACTCTTTTGTTTTATTTTCAAAGCCTTGAACATAAGGGGATTAACTCTGAAATGTTCATGTGTAAATAATAGTATTTTTTATAAATATACATATTTTTATGTTTATGGAGCCCTCATACGTGTAAGCTTCTTCATGAATTACCATTCTTAACATTTAGTTCTGTGTATCTTCTTCAGATTTAGATCCAAGATTCAAGATTTATTCATTCCTTAAATTAAAAAAAACATAATACATTAAAAATATTACAGGTGTAGAAAAGAAATACGAATTATACCAAGATGAGGCGGTCACTGATCAAACCATACAAAGGAAAAGAAATCAAATGGTCACTTTGGGTCACTGCAAAAATTCAAATAAGGCTGTGCCAAAGGTTTGAATTAAAATATTTTTGCAATGGGTAACTAAGTACATGAATAATATACTGGACAATAACAAAACAATACAAAAGAAACAAATAAATATATGTAATTAACATGTATGTTATAAGTAAAGAAGGAATACAAAAATTGAATTTCTTTTTATCTCATAAAATAATATGCGGGGTATAAGTACTTGCTAAAGTTGCTAATGAATAAGATTTGATTTTCCTTTTAAATCCATTAAAATTTCCAGTTTCACATATTTCCTGAGGAAGTGCATTCCAGAACAAGAGGTGCAGTATGTTTAAAAGAAAATGACACAAAGTTTTTTGTACATTTGAATATATGAAATTTCTCTTTATATAATCTGTCTTTTGCTTTATTCTTCTTTTCCTTGTGGGTATTTCTTTGTTTCTTGACTCAGTTCCTCCTTCACTACTTCTAACCTTGATTTTCTTCTTCATATTTTAAATACTTTTTCTTCAATCTATACTAATTTTGCTGCTTGTCTGTCATTATTCCTTGATTCATACTTCTCTTTTTCTTCTCCCCTATGTTCTTCTATGTACTTGCCCTTATATAGTGTTCATAATCATTATGGTACATTCTACTTTTTTGTACTCTTTTATATAGCAATATTAGCATCTAATTCATTTTTCCTCACTATTTTCTAATACATGTAGGCCTACTTCTATCATAATTTTATTATAGGCCCCTTTTATTGAACTTTCCATGCTAATATGTAATATACCCGGTAATATATATCTTTCTAAACTCTATCTACCCGTTCTTTATCCCTTATTTTCCTTTTATTCTCCTTCATTCCATCCTCGTGCTCTTGTTCTAGTCAACAACAACAAAGCCCGATGAAACAGAACAAACAAACAAACAAAACAAGTGAACAAGCAATGAATGAAAAATAAACAAACAAAACAAACAAATTAACAAACAAAGACCTATGAATCACGCATGCACGGTTTGGATTCAGACTGCTCGATTGCATAACATTATCGATATCGGCGCGCTATTCGTTGTCCATTCGAAATGGCGACTTACTTGGAAAAATCTGTATTCCGTTCAAGATTCGACCCAAATCAGTGATGGATTTACTGATAGAATGTTAAATTTGGAGTATGTGCTCATTTTAGGGAGCGTCGTAATCATTTCATGCTTTATGTGGCTATCTTTCGCCATGAATTCCTCTCCAACCATTCCGGAACCTCACCCAGCTGATAATGGCCGTAGTCCCAGTCGTAGAAATCGACGTAGTCGCAAAGTGAAACAAACTCTCCCGGATTCAAACTCATCAGCTCCACAACAAAGACAAAGTGCTAGTGTGAGACACAGACGATCTCGACTTGTTGACGACGATGACACCGTCGACATGCATGTCGATGACGGTCCCCTGCTTCCAGAGGAAAACATGGATATTGATGATGTGCAATGTTCTGGAAATCAAAATGCCAAAAGTCAGAATCAGAAAGAGAAAAGGGAGAGCAAGAGAAGAAAGGAAAACAATTTGGAGCCAGCGTTGGTGGCTAATTTGAAAAAGGTAAACAATTTAGAAATCATATAAACCTTGCTGGAAGAAAAGTAGCATAGACTATAACCCTTTAAATTATAATATGGTATGTTTTATTAATAGATACCGTATTTAAATACAATGAACAATTGAACATTATAATTTAATAAAAAAAGTGATGTTGATAATCATTTTAATCATGTTTATTTTGTTATGATATTGACTAGATCTAAGTGATATGCTTAATGTTTTTTTTAAATTGGTAGATATCACCTGAAGATTTTATAGCTAACTGTTTATCTAGATCTGTCAAAGTTTTCTCTAGTAAGTTTCTTTATATTTTAAAAAATGGTTTGTTTGTTTTTTAAATAAAAATATGTTTATTTTTTGGTCAAAGAAGCTAGTAGAACTTTAATACCTTTACCTTTACCCGAGATTCTGGAAGAATGCTGTGTTCTCAGCAGTCGGGCTTCCAGTTCAATTTCATTTTCTTCCTTCTCGTAGTTGGGTGTCTTCTTGGTAAGTGTCTGGCTCAGTTCTGCGTCGGGTATTCTACTCATATGGGGAGCAGAAACGCTTGTCCTTCCATACTCGATCCAGTCTGGCTTTAAAGGCATTCACCGTGGTAGCAGTGACTACCTCTTCAGGAAGTGTGTTCCAGTCATTGATGACACGTTGGCTGAATGCATCCTGTCTAATCTTCGTTGAGCATCTTTGTTTTACGATCTTTAGACTGTGGCCTCTTGTGTTGCTAGTCGAGTGTTCAAAGAAGGTATCAACTGGGATGCGTTCAAGTCCATGGATGATTTTGAAAACCTGAATCATGTCGCCTCGCCGTCTGCGATATTCGAGGGAGGGAAGGTTGAGCGCCCGAAGTCTCTCTATGTAAGGACGGTTGCGGATGTCATAAATCATTTTGGTAGCTCTCTAGAACTAGAAGCAACACAGGATGATGAGGATTAGAATAAGATTGTAATTGATACATCATTCATTTCATCAAATTTCAAATACATGTACATGTATTTGAAATTTGATGAAATGAATGCTTAGTTTTTTTTATCTGTTTGATGGGGGAAAATAATATTCATTAGATATTCTAGAAGACATCCTGCTTACCATCTTGGATTTTGTCTGTGCTCTGCACTTTTAACTAATCTAGATCTTCTTATAGTTATAGTGACATTAATCAAGTAGTTTGAAATCATTTGATTTTTTACATTATGCCCAAACAGGTTTGTCAAATTAATGCAGATTTTTGTTTTGATGTGTTAAATCAAAATTTAACCTTGTGCATCAATAATTGCTCTATTTTTCTATTCTAATTTCTATTGAATGCAGCAGGCTTCTTCTCCAAGTCGATCAAAAGACTTCAGTCATCCCATCTACAAAGAGATGTCGCTTAGAAATGGCAGTGTCAACAGGATGTCCAAGATTGAACTTCAAAACACTTTGCAGGATCTTGGCCTTAATAGATTGTAAGTTTGATCATTTCAAGGGCTCATTTCTCTTAAGCAATGAAAGCCAAGAAGACAAAATACTAGGACAAAATTAAATATATATATATTTTTTTTTTTTTTTTAATTATTTTTTTTATTTCCCTTTAAATGGTAAGAGAAAAAGTTTTTTTTAAGTCCTCTCTCTAACTGTCTTGCTCAATTTGAAAAAAGGCCTTGTTCAAATGAACTACCTTGTATCATTTAATAAAGAATGCCTTTTTTTCAAATTGAGCGAGACAGAGAGAGAGAGGGTTAGAGATTTTCAGTTTGACCATTGAATATATGTTTTATTGAATTCACACATTTTTATGCCTCCGCCACCGAAGGTGGTGCCGGAGGCATCATGTTTTCGGGTTGTCCGTCCGTACGTCCGTCCGTACGTCCGTCCGTACGTCCGTCCGTCCGTACGTCCGTCCGTCCGTCCCGTTTGACCGTTATCACAATATCTCAAGAACCATTTAAGATTTAAACTTAAGACTCGGGAATAGTATTTATCACCATAGGAAGACGATCTGATTAGATTTTGGAGTACGTAGGTCAAAGGTCACAGGTCACAGAGGTCAACTTATGAAATTCCTTGTATTGAGTTTGTTAGCGCGATATCTCAAGAACCATTTGAGATTTAAACTTCAAACTTAAGGATAGTATGTATCACCATAGGAAGACGATCTGATTAGATTTTGGAGCACGTATGTCAAAGGTCAAGGGTCACAGAGGTCAACTTATGAAATTCCATACATTGAGATTGTTATCGTGATATCTCAAGAACCACTGGAGATTTAAACTTCAAACTTAGTGATAATGTGTATCACTATAGGAAAACAATCTGATTACATTTTGGAGCAGGTAGGTCAATGGTCAAGGGTCATAGAGGTCATCTTATGAAATTCCATACATGAGATTGTTATCATGATATCTCAAGAACCACTGGAGATGTAAACTTCAAACTTAATGATAGCGTGTATCACCATAGGAAGACAATCTGATTAGATTTTGGAGCATGTAGGTCAAAGGTCAAGGGTCACAGAGGTCAACTTATGAAATTCCATACATTGAGATTGTTATCATGATATCTCAAGAACCACTGGAGATTTAAACTCCAAACTTGTTTAAATTGCTCTATGGCGGAGGCATCATTTTCGACTGCGCGCAGTCAAAATTCCATCTAGTTAATTATGTTTTGCTGTTTAGATAATTATATTTGATAGTCTGATTATGTTTTTAGTAGCACATCTGCAAGATTCTTTCATGTGTATCAATAGTGGAATATTCATTATTTGTCTTTTGACTCTACTTATGCAGAGGCAGTGCCGATGTCCTAAAACGTCGCCTTAAGGACCACTATTCCAAAGAGTCCCTGAAGATGGCTGGCCTGTCTTCCGATGTACCCGTCCAGTTTGATTATCTCTGCGTGATCGATGTAGAAGCAACATGCCAAGAGATCAACCCTGTAGATTACATCCATGAGATCATAGAGTTCCCTATCGTTCTACTCAACACCAAGACATTACAAATCGTAAGTGGAGACAAGTCGGCACAGTCAAAAATGTTTAGATGTGATGGCGCTTTGCCCCTATACTCCTGAAATAGACCCCAATGCTAATGTGTTTTTTTAATTAATTTTTATTAGAAAATGAAAAACCCCTAGAATTTTTTTGGGGGACCAATCGTATTTTGGAAGTTTAATCAGAGTTTCATGTGGTGCTCTGTATTTGTTTAAGTAATTAGACACCTAATTAGATTTTAAATATATTACCTTAAAAGTGTAAAACTCACTTCAAGTTGTTGCAATGTATTTCATAAATTTCACTAATCTGAAGCGTAGATAAATCGAAAATAAACACAGAAAGTAAGTTTTGCCCTGATGATTAAAGTAAAAGATATTTATCTCCTTCTTCTACAGAATAATATCTTGACAGATTTACAGGTATGAAGAAAAAAGAGATGAATGTACCATTGTACTTCACATTTGCTTTGTTTGTATTTTTATACAGGAAGACACATTTGATGCATTTTGTAAGCCTGTCATCAATCCTCAGCTTTCCAAGTTCTGTTCGCAACTCACAAACATCTCACAGGTAAGTACATATGCAGGATTTTAATAGTGATAGTTAATTTTTATTGTGCAGCAGTGGCAGGACAGCCATTTAAAACTTGTCATAATATTTGTGTTTTCTATTTTGTTTCCTTTGAAGAAAAAAATACTGTTGTGGTGATTATTGCATCATTCTTTTTATCATACTTCCAAGAATATTTTTCTTTTGGATTCAGTTAGTTAGTAGATTGTAAAATTATATTGATTCCTTATCTTTATTGCCACAAGTGTTGTTTCCCCTATCCCTGAACTCTATCATTATTGTGTTGCAAAAGTTTTATATTCCTAAGCATTTTATATCAATATGATATTACGTCCAAAAAAAATTATCTAATTGTTATTCAAGCGCAACTTCGGACACTTCAAAACAAAAGTTTGTTTATCACCTCCTTTCCAGAAAATGGTAGACAAAGCAGATGAATTTCCAACTGTTTTGGAGAAAGCCGAACGTTGGATGAGACAGAAGGGCCTCGGCAGTAAACACTCATTTGCAATAGCCACAGACTGGTAAGTGTTGGATTAATATTGAATGAATTAAATCCTTAAGTAAAGGTTAGAGGTACATCTTGCTTGGTCAGATTATGTTGCATAGAGCAAGATGTACCTTCAATCTTTACTGCACTTGCCTTTGATTTACGATATTGTTTAAAACATGTCAGAAGCTGCCATGCCAACCATACCACATGTTCAAAGAACATTTTAATGATAATAATTATATTTTATCCACCAAGCTGGCTGGAATGCTCCCCAGGGAGTGGAGAATGTGCATACATTGTGTGCGGGTAAGCCTGAATCCGATGACCGGGGTAATAATATGATTGCAGGGCCCTCAGGGAGAACAGTATGAATACTGATGAGGCTACCCTGGGTAAACAAGACATATTATTATTATTATTAAGCAAGGTGCTTAAAGCACTCCAATTTTATCCCGGCTCTGCTAGGCTAATGATTTTGGTGCTCACAGCATTCAAGGAGTTCCCTACTACAAGTACCCATTTAACATTTGGGTGGAGAGTGGCAAATGTAGATTTATGTCTTGCCAAAGAACATAAGTGCCACAGTGGGACTCTGACTGCAAAGTGCAAACCATGCGACAACAAATCTGACCATGTATCCACTAGACCACGACACCTCTATTATTTATTTATTTTTAATGGTTCAGAGCAAAACCTCAAGAATATTTCGAGAAATAAAGAGATGCATTAAATGCAGTTAAATTTATTTAATTTGTTGTTGGCACAAGGTAAAACCTTCAAGTTTGTTGTTGACTATCTTTATGTACATACTACATCGTATGTAGAAAGTTTACAGCTGAACCTAGTGATAAGGTTTCTATGATTATAAGCCCGGCCATCAAGACCCCCTGTCTATAGATGCTGGTTACATGTTTACCTCAGGTTTTCTGTACATATTTACGCCCAGTATGACCAATTATTCTTATATTATCATCATCACTTCCTTCCTAGCTCTTTGGACATGGACCTGTACCTGAAGCTCCAGTGTCTGGTCAGTGAGATCTCCTACCCCCAGTATGCCAAGGAGTGGGTCAACATCAGCAAGGTCTTTGCCAACCTCTACAAGACTAAGCGACTACCCCTGCGCGCCATGCTGGACAGCACTGGACTGGCCTTCATAGGACAGCCTCATAGAGGAATAGATGATGCCAGGAACATTGCCAGGGTAGCCTTGCAGCTGATTGAGGACGGTGCGGAGATGAAGTACAATGAAAGGCTAACGCCGACGTAGCGATGGATGACGAATGTGACTAGTCAGACTAGAACTGTTATTCTGTCACAGAAAGCCGACACCACTACAGCTGTGAATTTTCAAGGAGATAATTGCTAAGGGGACAGGAGTAGATTGAGGAAAGAGCAACAAAAAGAGGAATAAATGGAACAAGGGACTATAATGTTGGAAGAGTATGATGAAAGAAGTGGTTGATTCTTTGTGGAAGAGAGACAGAGCTGGAAGTTTTGAGCAGTATACACTGTAGCCCATCAATTGGAACATCAATAATAGTATGTAGATTGTTTGGATATTAAGTGGTTTTTTTTAAATAATTTTTATTATGACTTACAATGTATAACACAACTGAAAAAACTTTTGGTATTATTCATTTCATTTCTGTTATTGACGTTCTTTTTTCAAGAATCTCATCACATTTTGAATTAAACATTTGAGTCAAAGAGTGTTTACCCATGAGAGAGAAACCGAGGGGGCGAGTTGAAAATGAAGAGGGAGAGAGACTCAGAGAGAGAGAGAGAGAGTGTGTGTGTGCGAGAGTGAGTGAGTGAGTAAAAACAACAAGACGTCAAAACATTTCAAGTCATAATGTGATGCACAAAATTATGAAGATGGTGAGTGATACACATATTTGAAAAAAATTATGTGTGCACGGCATACGATCTATTATTATGAATTGTTTCTTTCTTTTACATTTGAATTGAAGTTGATGATATCTCAGATTTCACAATGTTTTTTTTTCCGGTCCAAGTCCATATTGACTCAAGGAGGATCATTATCTTTATAAACCTGTGTCAGTCATGGTCATGTTATAATCCACAAGTACATAAATGTTCTGTAGCTTAGAACCCTCCAAATTAATTTCTTCCAACTCTTGGCCACATTCTTCCAATAATTTGTTTGTATCATGATGCTTATCGTTTTAAAGTTATTGGTCTAGCCAAACATTGTTATTATTGTACTTTTGTTTTCTCCTTTTACTTCCCCTCACAGAATTGTTAGTTTACTTTTATTGGGGGGGGGGGGGAGGGGGGGTGCTTGTTTCGTTCAAATAAAAATTCATGTTTCTGAAAGGAATCTTTGAATTGTATTTTGAGAAACAATTAGCCTACCATGACCATAGGGAAGAAGTTGCTTTAGTTTAATACTCCATGTACATGGAATTTTTTTTAAATTTTTGTTTCATTTGCAAGCATTCATACCTGTTTTCCTACATTTACATCCTTTTCAAAGAACTTCTGCATATTTTATTGAAACAATAAAATATGGATTTCCCACTTGCCACATGTTCAGCTCATAGGGATTCTAATAGGCCCATTTTAATTTGCATAGCAATATACATGTGTGTAGGCAATCTTGTAAGTAGATATTCTTTGTAGATTTGTATTGAGTACTCACAATTAAAAGCTTTTGTCTAGAAACTGTTGAAAATATTGATATATTTCATTCCAGCCATGTATTTTTGTTATTACATTCTGGTAGCAGACTAGCAGTAATATCTAAAATCTTGTTGCCATGGCAAGCTTTGCAATTTATAACCTACAAAAGAAAGGTGCATTATTTACAATACATTTTACATTTTTACACATTATTTGCCTTGATTATATATTGTACCAATCAAAATGGTAAATGACTTTTGATAATCTCTCTCTCAAAATATTTTTTGTTTTGTATTATCTGTATCTTGTTTTCAGGCGATGGGAATGGTGACACGACATTTGCTCCTGCGACAATTGCTCCGGGCTTTATTTCGTCTAAGATGTAGGGTTAGGGTTAGGGTTTCAATAGGGTTTTATGTTAGGTTTAGGGTTAGGTTTAGGGTAGGGTATAGTGTTGAATCCAGGGTTGAAGTTAGCCATTCGATTAGTGTATGAAATTTACAGCGGAGCAATTGTCGCCGGAGCAAATGTCATGGAATCGATGGGAATATGTAGGAAAGAAGAAATCTTTGTGTAGTCATTGGAAAAGTATATTTTTGGCCTGTTACCACCCTTTGTTATATTGTGATTCATTCTTTAAGTTTTCTGAATTTTCTTTCAGTTATTTGATCAGTGAGCTACAAGCTTTAAATTATAATTTGTCAGTGGTCTTATACGGTTTTGAATATCCACCTGGTCTTTGCATTTAATTGGCTATGCAAATGAACTCATTCCAGAATTACGTATGTAGATTCTAAGCACTGTATTGTACAGTATTATTTTTGGCTAATTATGTTGCAAAAAAAAATGTTTGAATATGGAAAATCAGTCGGAGCAATGGGCTTGTCCCAGATCACAGATAACTATAAAGTTTTACAAAATCAGTCTTCTCAAGCTCATAGGTCTCTGATCTAAGAAAATTGATTCAGAAGAACAGATCGATGACCAACATTCAATACCTTTCTACATAACGTTGATGTATAGTTCATGAGATTGGCTTTATAGTTACCTTGCTTATCTTTGATATGGGGCAACCCCTTTGTACTTTGTCATTGCTTGTCTTTTATCAATGTATGATTTGCAAAATTCACATGCTAGTGGGTTGTTTACACCTAAGAATTGTCTATGGAGCTAAGGATCTCATGTCATATTTTGTAATGTATAGCATTTGTCTTGAAAAGGCATTCTTGCAAAAAGATAGCAAAAAATGTAAAAGTTTAGATATCTTTGATTGATAATATAACTAACGCGAGATAGAAAATAAAGCACAATTATTTTTTATTGATAATCATTGCTGTTGGTACTTTTATACTTTGTTCAAGGCATTTCATTAGTATTCCATGGTACATGTGTAGATGGTGGAGATGTGATGGGAATGTTTTCCATTTGCATCAAAAAGTTAGAAAGCTTTGAGACCTTCTCTACCATGCATTGGCAGACATTTAAAATCAGCAATACATGTACTTGAGTAAGGCAACTTCATTGAACTTGCATTTGAAAGACTAAAACATTTTCAACCAAATGTATTGCAATGAAATCCAACATCTTGTTGAATGTTGGTTTATAGTTGGGTACAATCATACGTTTGAGGGCAAATGTAAATAAGAAAGAATTCTTAACATAAAGCAATCACAAATGTCTGTTCACAAAAAAGAACTCAACAAAGAGACAATTCAGATGATAAAATTATTTATTCAACTTTTGTTTCATAAACAAAACTGTAACAAACACGTACAATAAAACACTGCATTATATTCACAGAAATAAATCTCAAAATTTTACATGGTATATTTACACAATCTACATGGCTGCATATTCATAGTCAATAGGTGGAATAGTACATTTGATCAGATTTGTTATGCATCTGTTTAAGCTTTTCAGTATTCATGTGCACATAAGCATGTATCTGCAATTCAGCATCACATCGCTTTTGCCTGTATTTCAAAGATGTACAATTTCTACAGCTGAAAAGTTGTCACTAAAACAGTCTAGAACCTCAATTATATTGATATACCGTACATATCTACATGTACATGTATATTTGCAAAATGAATATGGTCATAATCATTCAACACTTCAGTAAATATTTCTGAACAGTAGGAATGTATTTCAATATAGAAATAAGGAATGCATACTTCAAACGCAATTCTGCTCTTTTAAGAAACTGTAATAAACTCCAGACTATTCTAATACTAGTTGAATGGACCATTTCAGTATGAGTTTCTATAAGCTGTCTATAGTCTCATCAAAATACCAACTTTTCAATCTTTCGTATCCCATCCTTATAGTACATTCTGCTAGATTTGCAGCATAGAATCTTTATATACATAGAAGGCCACAAACCTGATAATGTAATTATAAAAAACTTCATTCAAAACCACTCAACCAACATCAATATCTGCTTTATATTCCTGTAAATGAACCTACATTTAAACCGTCAATTGTTTCCTTTCAGGAGATCATCAGAACCAAAAAATGGATTTTAAGACAAGCTGTTATATGCTAGATCCTATCCCATAATTCAGCCATGACTGACACTATTAGGTGGCTCCTTGCATCAGAGGACACTACTTAGTTCTAACTTAGTCCCAGGAAACACAGTCTACCGGTAATCTACTGTGAGTACATCAGAAGGGCGTTAAAAAATGGTACATCGCATTGTGATAACATCCTTCTGGCAACCACAAGAAAATTTCCACATCTTGTGCCCAATCCACAAACGTAAAGAACACTTTAACAGTCCAACAAACTGGAAATTTTAACACATCCCAAGAAAACACTTGCAATTCTGTCTGCTGACGATCAAAAGGGTACTTTTTATAGTAGATAAATCCTTGAGGTTCTGAGCTGACAATCTCATCATCTTGTGTCTGCATCGAGAACAGTAAAGGACTCTTTCACAGTCGGGGAAAAATAACTGTCAATTTCTAACACAACCCAAGAAAACACTTGCAATTTCATCTGCTGAGAGTCAGAAGAGTGTGGATTAATAATCCTATTTTGTTTCCATACGGATAACGCCCTTCTGGCTCTCGGCAGAAGAAGTCATCTTTTCATGACCCCACTCTCACCGGTAAAGGACACTTCATTTCATCATTATTATATTGTTGCGTCTGGTTTTAATCATCCTCCGTCAGGAAAGCTCTGCCGGCGGCGCTGGGGTCTGGAGATTTGATCCTTTGCGTATGTCTTCGGAGTTTGACCTGGAGTCGAGATACAGGAAGTGACAGAAGAGAGAAAGAGTGAGAGTGAGACAAAGAGAAAGAGAGACAGAGAGAGAGAGAGAGAGAGAAACAGAGAGACGAAGAGATAGAAGGGAAGAGAGAGGGGGAGGGAGAGAGAGAAAGCGAGAGAGGCAAACAGAAGTAGACAAAGAGAGAATGGAAGAGAGAGAGATGGGGGGAGGGTGTCAAACAGTGATAGAAAGAATAAGAATGCTTCTAATTTTTATGAAGGATTTGTAGATGACAGATTTCGATCCTAGCTCCTGGCTGAGTACATCTGAATTAAGCTATACTGAGGCACAACTAAAATAATGCAGCCTTAAAGGTATCGTTTAACAATGTTTCCAGTTGTACAAATCTGAGATGCATGGCCCTACGTACGTGTTATCAGTGTCTGTGATATGGTGTAATACTGAAGCCTTAACAAAATTGCGCTTCAAAATGATCATGAAGTGCTTCAAAAAAGTAAAAAATCTTTGAGTGACCGGTTTTACAATACTCATTTTTCCCTATAGATTGTAGTGTTATAAAAACCGTTGGGAAAACGTTTTTTGAAATTTTTAATTCTAATCATAAATATCTTGCTAGCAGACAGCAGATCGGCTTGTAAATGTCATGGGATTCCTGACTGAGGACTGAGGTTTATAATTATGATTGCAGCATGAGCTAAATCCAGGATTTTGTTTAGAATCTGAGACATATAGATCAAATCTCTTTAAGAGTTTTCTCAAGTGTGTTTCACCCATATGGGAGCCAGCTGTAGGGCCTTGCCCATGGTACCTTACCTGGAGTTGAAGCTTATTTGTGAAGAACATCTTTTTCCATCCCATCTCCTCGGCCAAAGATTTCATCTCATCCGTGACGGTCGTACCACAGTGCGTCTCGTAGATCTGCTCCCACAATGCCTCAGCACCACAGAGCTGAATAGATAGAGAGATAAAGAGAGACGGTCATGCAGAGAAAGAGAGATAGAAAGAGAGAGAGAGGTAAAAGTCAATCTTGTAAAAATGTCACCAAAGGCCTTTCCCTGTCCTAAAATGTATAGGACTACATTGTATATCTGATTTTTTGTCAAAATTATTGTTCTGTTGGAAATGAAAAATAAAATGGAACTGAACTGGACTGAAGTGAACATGTTTGTGCTATTTGTTGATATTTATCATATAAATATGTACATTTTTGTTGCAAATGATCACACCAAATCAAATTTACAGTGTATAGAGGTTAAGCCCTTTTTTAGATCTCTTCCCAAAATGCCTAGCAGCAGAGAGCAGAAACAAAAGTTGACAGTGTTTTATCAATCATACTCCAAGATTACCTCGTAAAAAGCCTTGCAAGTCTGTGACAGTTTAAAGAGGTTAAAGCTTTCTTTTAGATCTCTTTCCAAAATGCCGAGGAGGCAACAACAAAAAAGTTGACACAGCATTTTTATCAACAATACACCAAGGTTACCTCGTAAAAAGCCTTGCAAGTCTGTGACATTCTGGCGATATCTTCTAACTCTAGAAAAGACAACATGTACAGCATCAAAGGCTGGGGGACCCTCATGATATAGTCGAAAACACCTTGAGAAAGCAGCGTGGCGTAGTCCAAAGTTCCTTGACCAAATACATTGCCAACATCAACTGAAATTAAAAGGATAACAGTAAGACAGTAAGTATGGTGATAAATTTGGTTAACATGCAGTTATACTGTAACAATGAGATTTCAGTCACTTAATGATTTGAAAATAGTACATATCATCAGATATACATATCAAATGCATATCTTTCTAGCAGAATAAAAATGCAAACCTAAGTGGAATTTCCTCCCTAGCTTACTTTTCATTGACAAAGAGCCTGTCTGGATGCTTCAGCAGTGGGGTATTTACAGGATCAAAAAGAGTACATTATAGGAGGCGCATGCCCATTCTATTTTTGTTTGTTCTTTTTCTTCTATTTTTCCCCTATTTTTAACAAGTATCAACATTTAAATGGGATCAATCAGCTAGAAACATATTTGTGCAGACCAAATTTGTTCAGAATTAACTTTTGAAATGTTTAACTTGCGTCTTAATGGTTAATGGTGAAAGAGTATTAAGAAAATATAGGATTAAATATTTTTTAATCTGGTAGCCTTGTGATGACAAACAATTAGCATCAAAAGTCAATACAAACTCCAAAGTTTTCAACTAGTTTAAATCATAGTAGACATACCGTATGAAAGGATTGAAAGCATTTCAACAAATTTCCTTTTCATGTGGCATTGCTATTATATTGTCTTTGCAGGGCCACAAGAGCATTACATTTGTGTTAAAATTATATGAGTTATGTCCTTCCAGCTTAAAACAAAAAAATTCTTCTTTATAAGGAAAAAAAAAAAAAGCTCATGTTTTCTTGTTTTGTTTTAATCAGTAGAAAAACTAGTTCTACTCAACATTTTCTTTCGGTGCACAACTTTTTTGTACTTACACTGCATTCTGTCATCATATTGAAAGTCTTCCAATGGCTCAACCGTAGCACCGGGACTCAGTCTCTTGGCATCATTTCTGAGTGTGATCACCCATGTTCTCCAGATTACCTATCAAGTAATGAACGAGAAGAAATACAGTCTCAGTTGTTTGCCCAACCATTAATCAAAATCAGAGTAATATTTACATAAATCGAATGCAAAATAAAAGATGAAGTCTGTGACTGTGTCTGAGTGTGATGGTGTAATGTCTCAATTCCCTCATTTTAAACTCAATATTCTTGAATTTTCTATGAATTAAATGTCAACAATTTATGGTGCTATTTATAGTATGATTGGGTGTCCTAAGTTAACGCACATTTTTTTAAAAAGTACAAATGGACATTAAATTCATGATTTCTCATATTCTTCACAAATTTATTCACATCAATTATTTACAAATGGACAACAAAATTTTGGACTACAAATGGTGCAACTAGAAAATTTATTGTCAAAAGAATTAAGGCAATATCATGATCTCTAAATTTGATGTTGGATCGGCGTGCACTACAAGTACAACTGAAGAAAAAGTCATAAAAACAAAGAGTCCTTAAAAGAGTTTACAGCTGATTTATCCAACAGAGCCAAAGGTAAGAAGATTCATCGCATGAATTGGAAGGCAAAATATCGTTCAATCAGTTGAAATCACGTTTTACTCAAAATTGTGCTGACATATTCTCTCATAATTGAGATTTTCAGACCCTTGTCGGTATAGGTCTAAGTTTGTAAAAAAAAATTGAACAATCTTTTGTTAATTTTTTATTGATTCCTTACCCGATTAAAAAAAAAAGCAAATTTCATCACTGGGTACTACTATGGGTAGATCTTATTCTAGGTTCCTCTATTGGTGGTAGTCTATCAGATTTTACAGATTTTAAAACCCTCAACATGTGTAAATTGAAGTGCATATACGCAGTCACACTCACAGAATACACCCATCTGCTGCGATACGCATCATCCTGATCATATGATACAGGTTTTGTGTCCTGACCACTTTTGCCTTTGGATTTCACGTACATGATCAAATATTACTAGCCATCGGCATCGTAAATATTTATCATTTATAACATTGTCAAACACTGCACTTTCACTAGCTAGTCTTTAAAGAAATATATTTCTGTGTGAAAGTTCTACAAATTACCGTTTTAAATGATGTTAACGGAGACATAAACTTAACTGTCCAAAGACACATCTGGCCTTTCTGGGTATATTTATCAACTTAAGGGGGATCTTAGCTCTAGCCGCTATCTCATCGACGGGCGGTGTCGGCGGGAGTGGAGCTTTACCACCCGTCCTCGGCCTCACCTTGTCTTTCCAAAAACTAGTTTAAGGTAGCCTAGCCTAGGCCTACGTGACACATAACTCAATAATATGGGACTGATGTCAATGTTGTCGAAAGATTGAAACTCTTGCACACATTCTCACTCACATAAACGTACATAAAATATGTGATGTAAATTTTATGAGTCTTACTTCTGATGTGGTGATCTTGAATTCGTTAAAATTCTTTGAAGGCGCAGGAGCTTGCCCTGTAATGTCGAGAAGGACACCGTCTTTTGGAAGAAGTGACGCCATTTTACACCAGTCTGTTTCTCTCGGTGCAGTTCGATTTATGTTGATGCACCAGTCTTTTTCAGTATAGGATGTTAAACTCTGCAAATATATATTTAATTTGTTTAAAAAATCAAGATTATTTATTCATTAATAATAATTTTAATGTATTCAATTATTCAAAAATTATTTTAGAGAACTTGATAGCATTTTAATGAATATTTTAGAATCTTATTGAAAATAATCATTGTAAATCATTTGGATGTTGCCAAATTTGTAGTTGACTGTTGTCAATGCCTACCGCTTATAAAGCTGTAGGCCTGTCATAATTTAAAATTTTAGAGCCATTTGAATTGGGGGGGGGGGGGGTAATAAGAGCAGACGCAAAGCTACAAGGAGATGGGCGGTCCCCAGAAATGAATAACATGAATAAATAGATAAATAGATAATTATTTAGAGTAAGTAAATAGATAAATTACCTGAACAACTGTTTTTTTTTAAATAAATCAAATATTGCCTGTATGCAATCTTTATGATAGACAATACCCGCCCCCCCCCACTCCGGGGTCGGAATGACCGCATGCGTGTTACCAAAATGTCCGGTAAAGGGGTACTTTTCGTGAGACAAAGTCCGGCCCGAGAATTGTAAGAAAAGGGGTGTATTTGACTTTTCACCCGGAGATTTCTTTAAAAAGGGGTGTTTTTTCTTTTTTTCTCTCATCTCTTTGGACTCCTGAGAAATTATTCCGAATTTAGGGAGGTAAATTGAGCATTTTTCAGAATTTAGGGGGTACATTGAGCATTTTTCCGAATTTAGGGGGGTCTCCAAAGCAGGAAAAGCCCGCAAAAAGCCCGAGAAAGGGGGGTTCGGAAATGTTGGCAGATAGGGGGTGCTTTCAAAAAGAGGGAACGAGCATATGCGTCAGTGGCATACACAGGATTTTTTCAAGGGGGGGGGGTTAAAATCGGGCCAAAAATTTGCTCCCGAAAATTTGAAAGTCGCGCCGGCCGAAAAGTCGCTCAGTGGGGGGGGGGGGGGGGGGTAAATGGACACTTCTTTGGGGGGAGGAGTAAAAAAAAATCGCAACGACTCAGCCAGCAAAAAAGTCACTCAGTGGGGGAAAATTGCAGGAAGAAAATTCATGACTGTAACTCTGTAAGTGCTATTTGATGCATACTTTTCGTTAAAATTTGAAGGCAATAGTGATGGCTTTATTTGTGTTATAAAGCGTCTGGAAACACAAACACCATATCATACTGCTATTAATTACTAAATATGAATAAATAAACAAATATATGAATAAATAAATAAGTAGGCCTAGGCCTAAGTAAAAAAAAAAAAAAAAAAAATGAGTATATAGGCCCTACAATACGATAAGCTATGTATTCAGACCCTCGTAATAGTTTGTTCTGAGTTTTGAAAGGCTATAGGCATATTCAATTCAATCCAGTTTCCATGTAATTAACTCGCGGACTCGTATATCAGATATCAGACGACAACAAGAACATGACTTGCCTTGCGTCATCGATTCGGCGTAATAATAGTTGCGCGTCTTAAAGGTATTACAAAGTTTTGGTATGGGGTCATGAATTTGGTTCAAATTAACATATTGGAAGCATATGCGTTCCTACAATATTCATTGATCGTTGTCCCGGTTGAAATCGAGTCTAAAGTTATGAAATTATAAATAATAAACTCTTTATGTTGTATAGCTCCCTCTCAATGTCTAGATATCAATTACAACAATGAAACAATGTTTCTTAACTAAAATCGACCGATTAGCTATTCCCGTTTGGAAATTATATATCACAACTACATATTCTGAGATTTTTATGGTCGCAGCTACCATTGTACGGCCGTAGGCGCTATTTGAAATTTATCGAAATTTACCGGGAGCACCGATAAATTTTTATATTCAATTTTTATCGAAAACAGAAGTGTTTTAGGGATTAATTTGTTTAGTGCTTATAATACATCCACAGGGGCATCCAAATATATCAAAATTGTAAAGATTCACTATCCACCCAATTTTCAAAATTTCCCAAAACTTGTATTACCTTTAATTTACTTTTCAGCCAATCACAGTGCCTGCGCAAGTGGGGATTTCCCTTTTGTAAACTCGCCAATTTTGGGGGCCGCACAAAACTTGTCATTAGTGACAAATGACAGTTTTTAATATAAGCTACTGAAATCCTTGCTTCTGATTGGTTATCAGCAGATTTGTCACTGATTTTTGTCATTTGTCATTGAAAAAAGGCTTTGTGAAACGGGCCCCTGGTCAACGTTATTGGGGCCGGGGCGGGGCCGAGGGCAGTTAGATACATGAATCATGGTTATATTCCGTCAGCGAGGTGCCGTGAATTTGTATACGTTATGTAGTGTTATTTTTATGGAATTTAAAAATAAATATGTTTGTACCGCAATGGAGTGTCTGTTCCTCGCTTGCTTCTCTCCCTCGAACAATTCTTAATAATCAGGACAATTCCGCCTGGGATGCATTGAATGTCCTTATAATCGAGCAGAGAAGTGCCTACTTAAATTATTCTTATATCTTTTAGTTTGTATGACGAAATAAAATGTTACCGAATTATTTCTTTTCTTATTTTTGTTCCTTCCTTAATTTCGGTCTTTCTTTTGGCCTATGTATGTCATTTTCTTTGCTCACTCCCAATATTTTATTTTATTTGGTGTGATTTAATTATAGTTCATTTCACACACAATGTACAACGGACCTTAGAATTATTTTGGTAAATTAACTAACAATGAAACAGCACGTCTTCATTTCCTTTTTCTTCTTCTTCTTTTTCTTCTCCAGGCCATCGCAATTTCACGAACGCACCCTCGACGACAAAATACTGAACGCATGTAAACGAGTTTAGACACAAATTTAAAATAAGGGTACACTGTGTCATTGTTATGATGTGGATCATGAGTGGCTAAATTACCGCTTTCTGAAATAAAAAAAGGTCAATAGAGGTGAAGTAATTAGTGAAGAGAACATAGAAAGTATTCATGAGTGTGTTTAGTTCAAATATAATATGTTACGATGTGCAGTGGCGGATCCAGGGGGGGGGGGGGGGGCCGGGGCCCCGCCCCCTGGAAAAAACGTGTAAAAACACGTTAATTGTACCTTTTTGGGGAGTTGCCCCCCCCCCCCCCTAGCTGGCGCTCAAGGGGGGGGGGTGCACATTTTCAAATTTTCGAGGGCAAAAAAAAAAAAATGTGTTCACTACCCCGGTCTCGTGAATTTTACGGAACGATTATAGCAACGTTCTCGGGCCATTTTTTTTTTTTTTTTTGTCTCGAAATTTGGAAATTTGACATTTTGCTCAGTTGGGGGGGGGGGGGGGGGGGGGGGGGGGGGGGGGGGGGTAAGGTCACCTTTTTTATGTCGGCCGTGGGCATAATTTTTTTTTTTTTCTTTTTCTTTTTCTTTTTTTTAAATTAAAAAAAACCAAAAAAAAAAACAACAAAAAAAACAATCAAAAGGGGGGGGGGGGGTTAGGTTTTTTAAAAGGGGGTTTACATACATAAAATTACCAAAGGGGGGGTTAACCCCCCCCCCCCCAAACCCTCCCCCCTGCGTACGCGCCTGTGCTTAATCAGTATCTTGTACCATGTAAAAAGAGAAGCAAGCAATGACATCACCTATTAAGATCTAATCCCAATGAGGGGTATAAAGTCCTATACTAATGTCTAAAAAAAAATTATTTTTGCTTTGTGGTTTCCCTTCGAAGGTGCCCCTTTTCCCTAGAAAGTGCCCTTTTTGTTGGTGCCCCCCCCCCCCGGCCACTTTAAAAGACGCTCCGTCGCCCCTGGTCCACGGGTAGAGGTGATTGTTAAATCTCAAAGAACAAAACATAATCTCTAATAGCTTTACTTATATAGGTACACAATTTCCATTTGGTATCTTTTTTATTCACGATGAATAATTTGCTTGTAAATTGCTCTCAAAAAATGTCATAAAAATTCACTCTCTAAAATAAGACTGATATTCTTCTTCTTGTCATTTTCTTCCTTTTCTCCTTCTTCTTCCTCTTCTTTTTCTTCTTCTTCTTCATTTGTGTATTCTCTTCTTTTTTTTTTCTTTCTCCTTTTTAATAATTCCAGCTCCTATACTTCTCGATCCAGACTCGAGATTTCATAAACTCCCCCCCCCCCCCCCCCCCCCCCCCCTGCTGATAATTTGCAGTTTACATGTCGCAATCTATTTGAAGTGTGATTCAGCATCATCTGTTCGAGATGGCGGGGCTTATTTCGGTAAAGAGCGTTGAGGATTTCGGAAAAGAGGTAGACCAAACTGTTAGGTGAGTATTCAGAGTGACTATGTCTGAGATTTCAATGTTTATTACTTTATTTTTAGTCTTGAAATCATGTGAACCTGAAAGCAACCCTTGTCCCATGTATTCACTTCCATGTTTTGTTTGTGAGACACTGTGTCGGGAGTGAGCCGCGCCGTGGCTGGAGCGGTGAGATATTGCAGCATATGCAGGAGCAGCAGGATTAACTGCAAAAGATCTACTTGTCAAAAATGACTTATGGCAATTAACTCATAGATCTCAACATCTACCTATGTATCAGTAACGTCGAAATTCTGATAACAATCAACAGTAATAGAGACTACATCAGCATGAATGAATTTTAGTATCTCTGCAGCAAAGCCAATTTAAAAGAAAAAAGTGTTGTGATTCACAATGGTCAATTACAGATTTACAATGTCAATGACAGGTGTGAATGTAAGCAGATTTGTGTCACTTTTGTAATTGTTAATTAGACATTGCTATGTTTAGAATCAATTACTGATACTCATATCAGATTGGATTTCAACTAGATTCTACTAAAAAATTAAATCAGTTTTTCTTTTTGCACATGTGTAGCAAGAAGCTGGAAAGCAAACAGTGAATTCAGCCAAAAAGTTCACCTCAAGATTCTGGGTGGTGATGGATGATTTGACATGGAATGAAGAAGAGGAGGAAGAAAATGAGTTCAGTGATAGAGAAAACAAAACATTCATCTTTATTTTTATCGGGACTTTAATCATTTGTATCTGCTTTGCACAAAAGCATTGTTACTGTTTAATAGACTATTATCAATTTTAATCTAATTAATGTGTTTTGTATTTGATGAATAATGTCCCTGTTATTGTTTGAGATTTTTAATTGCCTTTAGTTGTGCAAATAGAGATGTTATTAAAGATTTGCATATGCCTGATTAAGTTAATTGCCATACTTTATATGTCCCATATCAAGGAGAGTTTTGTTTTTTTCAAGGCCTGAACGGCAGTAACTCTGCATTAAAGTATGAGTTAACACCCATCTGGCTCCAAGTAGATGATATAATGATGTTTTGTTAATCATGTTCGATATTTTACAATGAACTTGTGATTATGAGAAAGAAAACAACCAAGTAGCCTGGACTGAGTGGACTTGCACAATACCAAAACATTTTAAATCATGAATTCTTAATGCTTTTTGTTTGTACTCCTCCAGCGGTCTGCTCGTGGTTCACTTCAGAGCACAATGGGCTCCACAGTGTGAGCAGATGGATGGAGTCATGGTAGAACTGGCCAAGGAACATACGCAAGTCCGCTTCTCAACGGTAAGTCTACCAGAGGGTGGAACAGCAGGGTGGAAATCTGTAAGGTCTATTTATCATTTGACAATTATTGTTATTTATGATTGAATGATTATTAGACCATATGAATAGTAAACAAAATGGGCATTAGACAAAATGGGAAATAGACTGACTGGAAATTAGACTAAAGGAACAATAGACCAAATGAGTAGTAGACTTATTGGAGATTAGACCAAATGGAAATTAGACCAAATGATAAGTAGACGAAATGATTATTAGACCATGTGGATAGTAGACTGGCTTGGAGTACCGGTAGACCAAATGGGAATAGACCGATTGGGTACTACATGAGCTGGTTGTAAACCAAAACGGCCATAAACCAAACAGTAGCATAGTGGGGCCCAGCCATAGAGGCAGCTCTTGTTGTACTAGGCAGATGAAAAGCGAATTAACCCCTTTATACACCGATTCGGTTTGGGGGTTTTATGTACCTGCCCGCCGGTGGCGGCGCTATAACTGGGGGGCTTCTCCGATCCAGCTGACAGTACAGAGAGCTCGAGAGCGGTTACTAGCTAGCGGAGCAGCGACCCTGGCCGGCCTGGGCGAGGTTCGGTATAGGTATAGCATACCCGTTGCAATGTAAGCTAGCTAGCTGCAGTCAGACCAGGGACGTGATAGAGAAGGACTGGAATCAAGCCGCTCTCCTTTGACCCCATGCTCCAAGCCGCCGAAAAGTTATGCGCTAATCTGCAACTGTTGACCAGGTGGTGAGATAAAAGAGCGCATGAAATTTCAGGAGTTAGAATTCCTACATCAGAAAATGGTATCACTGCAACTGTTCGCTGTCCCTTCCAATGATTTCTCATCCATTGTTGAATGTGTAAAGAGTAGAACAAGCGAACACAAACTTGTGTACTTTCATCCTTTTTTAAACTTGAAAAATACAAAAAACACGCGAAAACACGCATTAGCAAACTAAATGTTATTGAAGATTGTAAATCATGGATCAAATAACGTGACATTAAAGCATGCACAAATTAGCGCATCATCCTAAAATATTGAGTTTTTGACAGGATGTAATTTTTCTTTTACCAACTCTGGCACACAAATTAAAGGAAGGACGGAGTTCTAAATTTGAAAATTTGTTTGATGCACTATTCCCAATAAAATCCCCGTATAAAATTTTTGATTTACACTGAAATTTTGCCGGTAATTTAATATTTTGTAATAAATGTAAAACTGGTGCCTGGCTTCCGAAAGTCCCCGCAGTGGAAGCGCGGTTCGGAGCATGGAACTTCAAAGCCAAGTGGAATGTTACACATCCCATTGTTACGCTTTAGAACTCAAGAATGCGTTTGAATAAATTACAAGAGTTTCGCCTCCTTTTCTTTCACCTCCCTGGTCAGACGCCCCCCAGTTATGGCGTCACCTTATGAGGGCGCACTTCCACCAGAAGTCGCCCGAATCGGTGTATTACAGGAACGGGATCTCCCCTGAGTAGAAGCCTGTGGAAATTAAAGCATCCAGTAGTCAGATTAGGGGCAGGGTGTGAAATAGTCGCTTTGCGTCACATTGACTGCACAATGAGACTAGGCATACTGCTCCTGACACAATTTGTCTTGTGATTTTCATGTCATTAAAATTCATAACTTTTTTATTAGTTATCTGATTTTGCTCAAACTTGTTTTGAATGGTTTGTCTGATTTTTCTGCTTCCATTGAAAATAAGTTATTTTTGGAGTGGACTTGCCCTTTAATTTTTGCTAATCCATTATCATTACCGGTATTTGTTTATTTTTATTTGTTTAGGTTGAGGCTGAAGAACTTCCTGAAATTTCCAAGCAGTACAGCATTGCAGCAGTTCCCACATTCATTTTAATCAAGGTAAGATATCTAAAAGGTGAAATTGTATCTCTCTCAGACTCTCTCTCTCTCTCTCTCTCTCTAGTGTGCATATGTCATCCTCTCTTTTTCCCCACTCTCTCTCTCTCTCTCTCTCTCTCTCTCTCTTTCTCTATCATTTCCTTCTCCCCCTTTTCCCTCCACTTTCTCTTCTAGTATTGTTCATTCTGTCTGTATGTTGGTAATATTGTGTTACATTTTAAGAAATCTTAGCCAATCTATTTAAGTGCTGTGTTACAGAAGTAACATTTTTAGAACTAGTAAAATGTGAAACATTATTTTTACAGATATTTATTTTCTCTTCCTAACCAGATGTTTAAAACAATAACCATAATGAATAGTAGCATTGGTTGATATGCCTTTGGTCAACTATTTAGATTCACAGGCACTTACATTCAAGACCAACACCAGTCAATAACCAATCGACCGAATTTTTTGTTTTTTTTGTTTTGTTTGTTTTTGGGGGGGTCCCATTTTAATTTTGTGTGGGGGATTGGCATTGTGCCTGAGATATTACATTTGTAATTTCAGCAGAATCGGCTCTTCATTGTACAAATTAAAGTGAAATTAAAATCTACATTTGTTTTCTTAATCAGGGCAAGAATGAAGTAGACAGACTGGACGGAGCTAACGTACCAGAACTCACCAAGAAGGTCAAACACCATGCTGACCCCAACGCCAGCCCTGTAATGCTACCTGCATCATCACAACCACCTAAAGAGGTGGGTCTCTATGGTTATTTACAGGAGTCTATTGAAAGCCGATGGGGTATTTGCTTCCTCGAGCATCAGATCACAATCTCAAGTCCTACAGCCCCATCGTAGTTTAGATTGGGCCAATGGTAGAGAAAAAAATATTGTGTCACTGCTTATTATGCTCTGAATTCCTTGAAACTTGGAAACCTATGGGACAAAGAATGACCACTTGTACAAGCATTGCTTTTTAGTGGACCCCTCTGTTTCCAACATGTATTTCTTAAATTTGTTTTAAATGCTTAAAATTGATTTGTAATGTTTTGTTAGAAACATGAATAAATTTGAAATCTTGAATCTTGAAATCTTGGACAGTGTATATATTGTAAGGTACACATATATGCACTTCATTGTTATTGTTGTGTCTAACTTGGTTGTGGATTCACTGATTGACGATTTAATTTATAGATCCATGTACAGGCGCAACATGCCGCATCTGTCCCATACTCTAGATCAGGCCTAAGGGTTGCAATGTTAAGGTTGAGACTAGCAGAGCTGCCAACCCTCCCGGATTTGTCGGGAGACTCCCTGAAAATTTGTAAGGAAAGTCAGAGAGCTGCAGCAACTTACACCTCCCTGTACTGTAGTTTTGTTCTACTCCTTTGCAGAGTATGCTAAATAATATGATTCCAATATCCTTATGCCATGTAGGACCTGAACACAAAGTTAAAGGGACTGATCAACGCTGCCCCATGTGTTCTGTTTGTGAAAGGATCAAGACAGGAACCAAGATGTGGGTTCAGTCGGACACTGATGGGGCTGTTAGACGAGCGCAAGATAGACTACAGCACTTTTGATATCCTAGGGGACGAGGAAGTGAGGCAGGGTGAGTTGTTCATTCATTTTCTTTCACTCTTCTTTGTCTCCATTACCAGACCTGCCAACCAGTACGATTAAGTCGTATTTCGTACGATTGTTAGAAGCAAATACAACAGTATGATTTTATTTCAATGGCAAAATGCCCATTCTGTCCTATCAAGTATCCTACAACCATCTCACATCAACAATTTGGGGATGTTCATTGGTCCATCGAACACAATTAACAGTCGTGACAAAATCATGCATATTCAACTAATGATCCATTAAAAAGAGGCATTGATCCGCCTAACAGTCCGTGTTTATTTTTAAGAATACAACTTTTGTCAGTAAAATACTACTTTTGGGATTAAAGAATACAGTTTTGAATTCCAGAGGTTGGCAGGTCTGCATTACCTCTTTTTCAAATTTGAGCATCAGTGTGGGTTATTTGACCAAGGGGCAAAAGTCATCTAGGTATTAATAAACATACTCATACTTAGTCTGTAGAACCCATGATCCAATATGTGTCAGATTTGATACCTACATGTATACACAAACTAGACAGATGGTTTATTATGGGGTTATAAGGTCGAAGGTAAGTCATATGTGTCTAGTTCAGTTGACGTCCAAGAATTTCAATTATCATTAAATAAAATTAAAATGTTGTATCATTAGGTATTATTGACATACTATTTGTACAATATACTGTACAATTTAAAGACAAAACTGATACATTTAATAGTATCGCAAGGCTCGCAGGGAGAATAGTATTGATACTGATGAGGCTACCCTGGGTAGACAAGGCTTAGTACCCCGGTAGTAGTTATAATAGTAAGTTGTTGTGGCGGTAAGGGTAAGGGTGATGATGGCGGTGGTGTCTTAGAAGTAGTAGAAGTAGCATTACATGAATATGTAATCATACCGCTACATGTTGAAAGTTGAAAGTATTTTTTGTTTAACCAGTAGGCCCCGTCTTACAAAGAGTTGATATCAATCGCAAATTCGCAACTGTGTACATAAGAGATACAAGATTACAAACTTGCGATTGATTCGGATCAATCGCAACTCTTTGTATTAAGACAGGCCCCGGGTCGCATGTGCTAAGCTTGATATTGGTGACAAGCCCATTCACTTGTTTGTGTTGATTTACCTTGCAGGATTGAAGAAGTATTCTGATTGGCCTACATACCCGCAGGTGTATGTAAACGGCGAGCTGATTGGAGGACTAGATATCATCAAGGAGCTAGATGCTAGCGGTGAACTTGACCAATCTCTTCCCAAGAAACAGGATTTGGATGACAGGTAAAATCTTAAATATGACTCTTGAATTACTATAGTATCAGGAATTGAATCACTTCTTTACATCTAACATTTGAAATTTTAAAATGATCTTAATGAATGAACAAAGACTGGGATAAATTTCTAATCATTTTGATGATTCCAGAACCTTGCAGTACACATCAATACTTATGCTAGATGATCAACCTTTTCTGATCGATTCCACACCGTTTCTTTCACAATGCAATCGCATGACCAGAACTCAACTTTATCTTTAAGTTGCAACATTACAAAAAATGGGATCTTGGCACAATGAAGAATCAATTTTGTGGCTATAAAATAAATACAAAGTAAGGTGACGATATCTCTTTAATGATTCCTGTTTGGTGTACATGTACATTGTTTTTTACCCAGATTAAAGGCACTGATCACTCGATCACCAGTGATGCTCTTCATGAAAGGTTCACCAGGAGAACCTAAATGTGGATTCAGTAGAACCATCACCTCAATCCTCACAGGCACAGGGTATGTATACTGTTCTTTCTTCATTCTTAAATGACTTTCTCTCTATCTCTAAGTGCCATATCGATTGACTTTGGCTATCATGCTGTTCCACAACTCTCGGCTCGTAGCCCTCTCAGTTAGCACCACTCCCAGTTCTTTCACTCCTCTCTCTTCTAACAATTTCTGCAGACTGTCCATCCAAAGTATCCTCCTTCCTCTACTCCTCCTTCCCACAATTTTACCTGTCAAAACAAGATTTTCTAGGCTTTCTTTACATGTAATGTGACCCATGAACGTCATCTGCCTAATGAACATCTCACGTGTCATTTCCCTTTGCACTCCAGCTCGTGTAAGAACTTCGTCATTACTAACTTTGTCAGTCCAGGGGATTTTCATCATTCTTTTTAAAAACCACATTTTGCAACTTTCTAAACGCTCAGAGGCTAAAGTCCATGTTTCACTATCATACATAAGTACTAAGTAGATGTACCGATTCAGTACTTTTATCCTGGTCCTCGTATCTATCCTATATATATATATATATATATATCAAGCTTTTTCAGCTCTTTAAAAAGCTCTGAATGACTAGATACTCCTATCTGGACAACGACCCTCCAGAATACAAGACACTGGGACCTTTTATGGACTAAAACCTTCAGTGAGCTGCCCCTGATGATTAATTCCCCATGGAAAACTAGCCCATAGAAAAAATAAACAAGTACCACCCCCCCCCCCCTCCCTCCCCTTCCTATGTGTTACTTGGAAGAGGGTAATACAGTCTTTGAAAAGAGGTGTTAATTGTAATTTAAAGATCATTTTGTTTTGGGGTTAGCTGTCTGGGAAGAGGTTTTCTAGGAGGTAGATGTCCTGGATTCCATTTAAAGCATAGAAGCAACTGCAGCAATTTGTTTGATTGCAGAAAGGCCTGAAAAATACACCTTTTTTGCAGTTTGTAGTTGTAAGACTGTTTTTCTTATTATATGTATTTACCTAAATTTGATTTTCATTCACTGTAAGCGTTTTAGGCCTTATAGGAAAAGCGCGGTATAAATAATAATAATAATAATAATTGCAATCTATTGAATTATGTTTACTTTATGATGTTCATGTGTAGAAACTTATCAACATAAAATGATTATTTTCAATGCTTTTGCAAATCTTATAATTTATCAAGGCTTAAATACGACACATTTGACATCCTTCAAGACCAGGAAGTAAGGCAGGGATTAAAGACCTATTCTAATTGGCCGACGTTTCCTCAGCTTTATGTAAGCGGAGAGCTGGTTGGAGGCTTGGATATCGTTAAGGTATGTATAGCAGAATGTTGCAAAATTGTTGATAATTAATTTTTGTTTGAAACCAATCTATTTATCATATAAGTTGAGATAAGTTATGTTTTGATCTTTAGTAAGTTTTGGTTATGGAGTATTTCATTAATGCATTTGGATTAATTTGGTGTCTTTGCTAAAGTTTGTATGCATGAAACAAAGAAATATATTCACTTGAAACCTATTAGTGTTTAGAAGGTTATATTCTTCTTCTGTTGTTTCTTCTTCTTCTTCTTCTTCTTCTTCTTCTTCTTCTTCTTCTTCTTCTTCTTCTTCTTCTTCTTCTTCTTCTTCTTCTTCTTCTTCTTCTTCTTCTTCTTCTTCTTCTTCTTCTTCTTCTTCTTCTTCTTCTTCTTCTTCTTCTTCTTCTTCTTCTTCTTCTTCTTCTTCTTCTTCTTCCTCTTCCTCTTCCTCTTCCTCTTCCTCTTCCTCTTCCTCTTCCTCTTCCTCTTCCTCTTCCTCTTCCTCTTCCTCTTCCTCTTCCTCTTCCTCTTCCTCTTCCTCTTCCTCTTCCTCTTCCTCTTCCTCTTCCTCTTCCTCTTCCTCTTCCTCTTCCTCTTCCTCTTCCTCTTCCTCTTCCTCTTCCTCTTCCTCTTCCTCTTCCTCTTCCTCTTCCTCCTCTTCCTCTTCCTCTTCTTCTTCTTCTTCTTTTCCTTCTTCTCTCTTGTCCCTCCCCTTTCTCTTTCTCTCTCTTTCTCTCTCTCTCTCTCTCTCTCTCTCTCACACACACACACACACACACACACACTTCTTATCTCTCTTTCTCCTTTCCTTTATTTAAAGCGCTTAGAGACATTTTTATTAAGCGCTATATAAAATTAAATATTATTATTATTATTATCTATTACCACTTGCTGTTCTTTCTCTCTCCCTTTTCTCTTAAATTGTATTCATTTTTCTTTTCCCATCTTCTTCCAACCCCAAACCCCATCATTTTTTCTCTGTCAAACTCACCTTTTTTTCTTCTCTTTATTTCAGGAACTGCAAGAGTCTGGAGAATTGGCAAGTATGTTAGAATGATGACTCATGTACCATCAACTCTTCCTGGTTTTGTGATTAAAGCCATACCGGTATGTGAAGACTCAGCAGTGGTTTCCAGCATTTCTACCCTTGTCTGTCTCCTCTCAGACACCATATGCTAAATTACACTCAGTACATTAAAAATATAATAACATAATGTAATAAGAAAATAAAATAAGAACAGTAAAACATAATACAATATTATAAATATGTTAAATTACACTCAGTACATTAAAAATATAATAACATAATGTAATAAGAAAATAAAATAAGAATAGTAAAACATTATACAATATTATAATATGCTAAATTACACTCAGTACATTAAAAATATAATAACAATCATAATTAATGTAATAAGAAAATAAAATAAGAACAGTAAAACATAATACGATATTATAAATATGTTAAATTACACTCAGTACATTAAAAATATAATAACATAATGTATTAAGAAAATAAAATAAGAAAAAGTAACAACAATGATAAAAGGTATGATAAGATTACTGAATATAGAAGCTTGTGTAGGTGCTATCTTATATACATATTTATGTATGGTGTGTATGTGATATAACAAATAATCTGCACGTACTGTTAAGAAACACTAACAAAGCCCATGAATGTTTTGCTTACGATATTATTTTACGATACTATCTTAAAAGATAGATAAATATAAAACGAAATAAATATATTTTTTAAAAATCCAAAATTGAGAGATATAACACGTGCCGTAAAGTAATTTGGCGACAATAGTCAAATCACTGACTAATCGCCAATAACTCAAAACACAACAACAACATTCACATCGAAGGGAGTAGTTGGGTTGAAGTTCATGAACAGGGGGGTGTTTCACAAAGACTAAGATCGACTTTAAGTTGGACTTAACTATGACAGGCTGTTCATGCCACTGCTTGCTCTCACCATTTACTGACATTGGTTTCTTCAAGGGACGTGTACATCTTGGTCACAAATCTACAGAGTTTACATTTTTTGAAAATTCATTATTAAAGGGAAAAATGTTATCTAAAGATCATAATGGTGAGAGCAAATAATGGCATGAACGGCCTGACATAGTTAAGTCCAACTTAAAGTCAATCTTAGTCTTTTTTAAACACTCCCCTGGTACTGTAAGTGAAAGGCAGGAAGCTTCTATTCAGTTTTTACACAGATTATGAGACCCAAACAATCAAAAGCATTTCAAACCCAACACGCCTTGTCAGGACTACCCACATGGTGAAATGGTGTAGCATTTCATTCCATTTTAATAGCTTTATTTTTCATCTTTATATGTGTATTTAAAAAAAACCTGTAATTATGGGTTGAATTTCTATTGAAGATCTAATTTGTTTCATTGGGATGATGTAGAAGCAATGCTAATCGATAGTCGTTTCTTTTCCTATAGAACTCATAGAATTCATATATGTAGTTGTGATGGACGTTAAAGGTACTTATCACATTAAAATGTGTCAAAAAGTGGGTAGACATGACTGAGCATGTATGCTCTTTCTCTACCTCTTTCCTTCATCCTTGTTTATAAAATTACTTGTACAAAATATATCAAAGAATTTTCCTTGATATAGTACGTGTTAAAACGAAAGAAAATATGTTCTGTAAAATATATTGTCTTTTTACAATGCATTTGATATCAACAGATTCAAAACAGATTTCAATTTCATTACTAACATGGTGTAATTTGACAATTTTTCAATGAAATAAAAAGCACTGTTTATGAAATGTTGTAGGAGAGGACCATAACCTTTTTCAAAAATGAGATTATCCCTTTGAATACTACAGTGTGTCTCATGTTTATGTTTCACAGTAGGGATGTGTATTATAAAAAAGAAGAAAAAACTGTTGTAATGTGAATGGGTTAAGATATTACCTGACACTTGATTCCAGGTATTTTGGAAGCAATTGATTTCCAGGGCCACCTGTAAGCCTCCTTCACACGTGATGTAGAAAACGTACGTGTAGTGCAGTTCACACTATTGTATCTTTTCACACAGAGATGCAGAGAGGTACACTTGTGGCATTTGTTTCTATGCAGCTACTGTATGTTTTTTACCCTGCTTTTATGTATTTTATAATGCTGCAGCAGATTTTCTACGGTTTACAATGTCTTGTGTGAGCAGGGCTTCGCAGCTGTACGAGCTTGTTCAGATATGACACGGTAATCCGCTGCAAAAAGCAGCTGCAGTTTTTTTTAATGTCGAAACATGCATATTCACCGAGCTTTTTGTTATAAGATACCGATATGTGAAAGGTATTGCACTTATGTCATCATAAAAATATGCTCTGGCTTACCATCGCATATCTGAAGGAGGTTTGACATATTCAGTTTTAGTTTTTAAAGTGTTTTTCACTAAACATATATTTCTGTTCTTTGTTATATGTTCAAGGTAAAACCAGCATTCTCCTTGAGAAGAAAAAATAATGAAACAATTGTGATGTGTGTCAGAAATGTTTTATCAATCTCCTGCTCATGATTGTGTAAAATAAAATGTTGCTGGTACAGCATACAGGTATAATTCATGTCTGTCCTGCTTGATATCTGGTATCTGCCATGGAGAGAGGGAGAGAGAGTTGAGACAGAAAAGAGTGAGGGGATGGAGGGAGAGAAAGAAAGATATATATAATTATTTATAGGAGAGAGAGAGAGAGAGAGAAATATTTTAGACAAAAAAGAAAGGTAAGGGAAGGAGAGAGAGAGAAAAGAAGAGATGGAGATTTAAGACAGAAAAGAGAGAAGAGAGGTATATAGAGGAAGAGAGAGAAAGAAAGATTTGAGCCAAAAAACGGGAGGGGAGGAGAGGTAGATTTTAAGACAGAAAAGAAAGAGGGGAATGAAGGAGAGAAGGAGGAAAGGAGAGGGGAGGGAGGGATTTATGACAGAAAAGAGAGAGAGAGGGAAGGGAAAGAAAGGGAGAAAGAGAGAGGGGGAAGGTGAGAGAGGGGAGGAAAGGAGAGGGGAGGGAGGGATTTATGACAGAAAAGAGAGAGAGGGAAGGGAAAGAAAGGGAGAAAGAGAGAGGGGGAAGGTGAGAGAGGGGAGGGAAGGAGAGGGGAGGGAGGTATTTATGACAGAAAAGAGAGAGAGAGGGAAGGGAAAGAAAGGGAGAAAGAGAGAGGGGGAGGTGAGAGAGGGGAGTGAAGGTGAGGGAGAAAGAGAGAGAGAAAATGGTGTGAGAGACAGAAATGAGAGGGAGATATAGAGAGAGGTAAGGGTTCAGGAGAGAGAGGGAGAGGAGTGCAGGGAAAGAGAGAAAGGTATCAAAACTGCTCTACCAAACTTCTCAGGCAGATGCATGTATCTAGTGAGACCACGACAGAACACCTTCAATGGCATACTTCAGATACCATGAATATCTTTTTGGTAAGTCACCTCACCCATTCACAAATATACATGTTCGGTTAGTGTTGATATATTATGGGCAGTGTCCTGTTTGGTTAGATAGTCATCTCACACTTTCTGCCTCTATACCTCTTGCTTTGTACCTTTCCCCTCTCTTTTTTCTCTCTTACCAACTTCATCAGTTTTGTTGTTGTTGCATTTCTCTCACTTTTTTCACTATTGTTTCTTTGCTCAATATCTTTCTTTCTTGTCTCCCCACCCCCTCTTTCTCTCTCTCACTATGTTATCCCCTCTCTCTCTCTCTCTCTCTTTATATATATATATATATATATATATATATATATATATATATATATATATATATATATATATATATCTCTCTTTCCTTCAACATACATGTATCCCCTTTTGTTTTTCATTTTCCCCTGTATTTGTATATCTTTATCCTAATATTTGTGTATCTATATCATCTCCCTACCGTCCTGATGTTCTTTCTCTCTCCCTCTTTCTCCTTTATTTCTTTCTCTCTCTCTCTCTCTCTCACTTTCTCTTTCATTCACTTTCCTATCACTATCTTCTCTTATATGCTAAAGTCTTATATTTTTTTTTCTCCCTGATTAGTTAAGCAATATACATTTATTCCTCAATCAATCAATCAATCAATCAATCAATCAACTTTTCAATAAATAATGGTCAGAACTAATTTAACTTTAAGTGTCAGGAACGTTTGGTATACTTTGCAAACATTTTTGCAAATATTTTTGCAATAGACTTTCAACCTCGGTATCCTCTTGCTCAATCGTCAATGGGTTATACACACATGAAAAGCTCATGCAATCACCATGACTACACGTCAGCTTTGCACTCCACAGGCACCTCATATTACAATTTTGCACATTTCCATAAACAGAACACAATCATGTGTACTCCTAACGCAAAGGACTTCCTGAAGTGCTATCTAAATAATGTCTCACACGAGCATCACCTTTTCCCCCGTCTCATCTATGCGTAATAATGATGGTAGCCTTAGCAACAGGCTACCGGATGACTGAAAGCCTCATCAATCTCACTTTGCAGATCTGGATTTCTCATCATCTCATCATTACCATCTTCAGATGAATGCAGCTTCGTGTCATATATTTGAAAGGGGGATCATTCACACTGGCCAAGAATGGTCTTTTAAAAGATCCATCAAATTTACCAAAGACGAGGAGAGTTCACACCACTGCAATACTTTGTAAAGGTGAAATTGACAGAATAAGTCATACATGCTACATGCATCAGACATGACCACATCAACAGATCCAGGGGGCTTCCCCAGCAAATACCAATCGGGCACACCTGTAACTTAATTACCTTCACATTAAGAACACCAAAAAATGTGCTCCCCCCCCCCCACCAGTATGGTGGTAATTTTTAACCCTTAAACTACCAGAAAAGGCAAATGACACATAATATAAACCCCCCTTTTTGTTTTTCCTACCCCCCCCCCCCCCCGAAAAAAAAAAAATAATAATAATAATAATAATAATGATAATAATAATAATAATAACAACAATAATCATAATAATAATAATTATATATATATATATATATATTTTTTTTTTTTTTTTTTTTTTTTTTTTTTAAATTGAATAAATAAATAAATAAATAAAAAAACACTGGACGAGTGTTCAGGGATTTTGTGAAGAAACATCTTATAAATGAAAACACATTAATTGAGCCACACTGTTTGTACACAAGCAAAAGTGATCTGTCATTTA